GCCACCACCTGCAAAACCATGGGAATCCATTCCAGATGATCTGAAAGGCACACTACCAGAAAGGCCAACAGGGAATCAGTACTTGCTGCTAACATATGGTACTTTTTCAAAGTATGTGGTGGCACAACCATTGAAAAATAAGAGAGTGGAGACTGTGACAGTTGCACTCATGAAGCATATTGTGTTGCAGTTTGGCCCACCAAACTACATTTGCAGTGATCAAGGGAAAGAAACCACTTGGAAACATTTTGTTAAAGTTTGTTCCTTAACTAGCGTGTTACAGATCCTAGCAGCTTTTCCATTGCCTATGGGACTCATGTAGACAAAAACCAAACAGAACTATGGCTAAAGTGAGAAGGGAAATGGAAGAGATAAAATAGAAAATGTGGTAGGATTCAATGCAGTATTTTATCAGTTTCCGTCTGCTATAACAGCTGCTTCAATTCCTAGGATTTGGCCTTTGTGGTGCATGCCTTAAGTCAGGGTTGTCAAACATGCAGCCCGGGGGCCAGATCAGGCCCTTGTAGGGCTACAATCCAGCCCACAAGTCCCTGGCTGTTTCATGCTTCCTTTTCCAGTTATGCTGCTGCTACATCACAGCTTACTTTACAAGACTCTCTCAATCACACAGGATAGATAGGCAAGCCTTTCCTGTGCGATTGAGAGAGTCTGATAAAGTATTGGCTGAGGGGGAGGGAGGGAACCAGCCAGAGCTCGCTTCCTGGCCAGGCTGCCTTGATCGTATACTGGAGACATGTTTGATTTAAAGTTTTAAAAAATCTTTAATTGTATTTGTCTGTGTCCTTTATGAAGTTTATATCTCTGCTACCTGGCATTACATTTTATGACACACATGCCCGACCCAACAAGGTCTCATTTATGTCAGATCCGGCCCTCATAAAAAATGAGTGACACCCCTGCCTTAAGTAATCTCTTGTTCGGACTACTGTGCAACCCTCTTTATGGGTCTGCCCTAAAGACTGTTCACAAACTACACTTGCTTCAGAATGTGGAAGCCAGATTTGTTTCTGGTGTTTGCTGCAGAGAACATATTATGTCAGTTCACTCTACCCTTCTCTGGTTGCCAATATGTTTTCAGGCCAAATTAAAGGTACTCGTAAACAATGCTCCCTCTAAGCTATGGAGTCTTGTGAGCAAAAATTCTACTTTATGAGCTAGTGACATTAAAGTTGTGAGCGAGCAATTTGGCTACTGCATAAATTAGTTTGCTCTGGAGCCATCCTTCCTGAGCTAAGACAAAAATCTGTGAGCCGGAGGTGGAAAAAAAACTCACAGTAACTCAGCTTAGAGGGAACACCGCTAGTAAGTACCTTGAAACCACTGATAGCACAGGTATTTGAGGAACTGACTTTTCCCATGTATTAGTGCCCTACACAGTAAGATCTGCTGGAGATAACTTGCTGGTTGTTCCATCTCATTGGTGGCTGCCCCCTAGCAGACTACTGGTTGTAGCCCTCCAAACAGGGAACCAACTGTGTATGGGATCAATGAGTTCTGGGACCTTATCTTAGAATTGCCAGGTTCCTTCATTGCGCTGGCGGGAGGATTTGAGGGGTGTTCCGGGGCGGGGACATCACACAATGTGCTGATGTCACCCAGAAGTGATGTCAGCGTATTGGCAACGCTGGGGAAAACACTCTGCTTTTTGAGCAAAACTCTATGGTAAAAATGGCCTCAAACCACAGAGTTTTGCCCAAAATGCAGAGCATTCCCTCCCCCCAACGTCAGCGATGTGCTGACACCACTTCCTGGTGACATCAGTGAGTTGCACATACTGTCAGGGGTGGGGGGAATTTCCTCCTGCCGGCCAGCTGGCCAGAGGCCAGCAGAAGCCCACAAAAGCGGGGAATCCCCCGCCCCCACCTGGGGAATGGGATCCCTATCTTATCTTTAAGAGTAACCTAAAGATCCATCGGTCTATTCAGACTTATTTGTCACTTCAGATCTACTGCTGCTCATGAATGAAATGCAAATGATATTTTTTAAAAAAATTGAATATAAACTTTTCCTTCAGAAAGAAAGCTTCAGCTAGAGCTGGATCCTGCCACAATGGAGGGAAGTCTGGTTGCATACTTGGATACTGTGGTAACTCACTTTGAGAGTTCTACAAGTCATTAATCTTCTAAATAAAAACAAAAATCTGTAGTTGAAAGAATTAGGCCAAGAGTAGCCAGCTACTAGCATTCCAAACAGTAACATGCTAGACTACTTTACTCAGAAGGGCAGATCCCTTGTTTCACCTCCAAAACAGGAGTTTTATTATCTTTGTTATCTTCATCCATTGCAATCACATTCCTAAATATGTGTATTATAAGCAAAACCACTGACGTTTCATAGTGACATTTCCAAAGCCAAAGTATTTCCATGTTTCCATGTTGGGGGAAAAAAATCTATAAGTGCATGACTACATCTATGCAACTATTATTTCCCCCTCATACAATTGGTTTGCCTTCCTCTCCCCTTGTTTGCTGGCACACCAGCTTCTGCATATGTAGATATTGTGTTGTTTTGGCACTCAAAGAAGACTAGGCAAATTCATGGAGAATAGGCCTATAAATGGCTACTAGCCATGGTAGCTAATCGAACATCCATGTTCAGAGATAATATACCTCTGAATACCTGTTGCTGAGACAGACAAAGCAGAGTTGTTGCCTCATGCTTGAGTATTATCTGGGGCATCTGGATGGCCACTGCTGGAAACTGATTGCTGGACCAGACAGTATAATCCATCAAGACTCTTCTCAAATTTTACTTATTGCTTATTGCTGTAAAGCAAGCCTAAGCACACAAATAAAAGCAGCTGCAGAAGCTCAAATTAAAAGAGGCAAGATTAAAGCAGACATCTGACTCCCAAAAAACAGCCATAATTCAAATGGTGTTGCTTGAAAATATCCATCCCACAGGAAATTCCACTCTCAAGATTTGTTGTCATCCAAAATGAAAAAAGGAGAGGCAAACAAGAATTTTCCATAAAAAGAAAGCTATGAATGTTTTTATTCAACTGGCTGAAAACAGAATCAGAAAAAAGTATCAGATGAATCAAACCAATGCCTCAAAAATCCAATTTATGTATACCAGAGAGAATTCTCAGGATGCTATCCTTCAACTACATAATTTACACTGAGCTAAGAATGTGAGTTTTCTTGGCATGTATGTACCGCTGACCTGACTTGGTGAATAACACAAAAGTATTCAGAAGAAGGGGAAGAAGCTGCTTGGGGGTGCCTTGGAACAGGGAAACAGTGAGTAAGGAAAAGGATAAGAGCCTCTCTCCCGAGTCCCGCCCCACAGTAAAAAAATGCTGGGCATTGGAAAACTGTAGCATGTATTAGTAGAAGTGCTTGAACTGGCAAGGGGCACTGGTGGAAGGGTATTGCCCAATGCCTTTTGTGAACTATTGCAATTAGACAAGAGTCAAGCAGGAAAACACAAAGAACCTGCAACAAATATTTTCTACAAAATAAATTATTAAAACAGAAAGTTACATAACAAATTGCTATTGACTTTTATCTGTTCTCCAAAGTCTTTTCATGTTAATTATTTTATGTAACACTCATACAAAGAAACTGAAAACCTTGCACAGAAGATGTTAATTACAGACACAGAGGTCAGGTCCCAAAGACAAGTAAACTATACACTATAAATTCTGACCCAGCAATTCTAAAACTTGTTTGAATATTTCTATTAATTCATAGCCCCAGGAGCTACACAGGAGAGGACAACTTTGGAGGCATAAAGTCCAAACCTGTATTATTATTATTATTATTATTGCTTAACACTGAAACAATCTAATTCAGTAATACATCATTTGAATAATCTCATGCATTAATTTATATTCCTTATACTGATTCCCTAAAAAAAACAATCATAGTCACCCCAGACAAATCTATGTCTCAAAAGCCAACTAAACAAAACCAGGCCTGTGCTGAATTGAGGTAGTTATCCTTCCCCCTCTTCCCAGCTAAGGTGTCTATGAAAGAAGAATGACACTAGGGAAGAGCTACATAATGGGCCTACCCACCGGATTCCTGGGTGCTACTAGAATTGTACAGGAAAAAGCCACAAGGAAACTGTAACTATGCTACTGTAGAAAAATATGAACTACACGGAAGAGCAGATGAGCACAGAGCAGTGTCAGGACCTGAATTTCAAGAAAGCTCATTGTTTAGAAATCAGTCAAGTAACCCAATATTAATAACAGACATCTTTTATCTTTGTTAACAGTATCACATTAGAACTTATAATCCCCCTTGCAGTAAATCAAGTTATGAAATTGCTGTGCATAAATATAGATAACCTGTTATGCTCACAAGAGGGAAAAAGACAGATAATATCATATGATGAAATCGCATGAATAGCACAAAGTCACCTCTTTTTGGAATATTATACACACATACACATTTCTTAAGTTTGTCACCTTGTGGACACTGATAGGGTGGGAAGGGAGCAAAAATGTTTTAAATATAAATAAATAAATAGGTGTATACCCCCTCGATGTCACAAGAAGTTGTACTATTGACTTCAAAAGGCATTGGGGGGAAACACATCACTTGCAGAAGAAACATGTAGCTTTTAGCAAAGGCTTGGATCCTCTAGAGGATTTCTGCTTAACAGGGGTATCTTTGCTGCTTCCCCCCCCTTCCCACTGTAGATCTCAGATTCCCCCCTCATACTCTTCAGGAGATGTCACACAGCAGCAGCACCTCAGGGATCATTTTGGACTGCGGCAGTTGGGGGAGGTGAAGAAGTCTTCCCCCACAAATGCAAATCCCTTTCATTTTCAGAAATTACTGGTGAATTCAAGCCAAAAATAGTAACTGTTTAGACTTTATCTTAAGAAGTATTTTCAAGACTTTCTTACATAGTGTAATATCTAAGCTCCATCTTGGTCCAACAAAAGGAAAAAACATTACTTTTACAGGGACATTCTGTATATTTTAACCATATATTCACCTCTTTCTTAAAAACAAGTTCATTACCTGTTATCACATTTATATCTGGGTACTGGGTTTCACAGAGAGTGACCGCTTTGCTATCCTTTTCAAATGCTTCTCGGAGCTCTTTCTTGACAGCTGCTGAGCCACATAAACGGTACAGGCCTACAACCTAGGAGCAAAATCATAAACCTTACCACATGACCCAGGTTCACCATTTAAGGAGTATCAAAAAGTTAAATGAAATATCAAGCATCAGTACAATTTTAAGTAGGAGGGTCAGGATATCAGTACAAAAATCCAGAATCTTAAGAAGTGGGATACAAACAGCCTCTAGCATTTAGTGTATGGAGGAGGTTTTCACCAGAAAAAAACAATCTGTGTTGTATTAAGTATACTGCAGATACTAAAAGAAAAGTAAATGAAAATCAGATTGTGGGTTGGATCTAACTAGGTTTTCTGCAGATGAAAAAGGGAAAGGATCCCCTTTAACCATCGAATTTTTTTTTTTGCTGGGGATCATGGGATATATATGTACTAAAGCTATAGGAGATGGGGCAGTAGGAAGGAGGAGAGTTGGGTGAGACTGAGTGAAAAAACTGGCTGGATCCAACCCAATGTTTCAATGTAGCTCTGATTCCCAGCCAATATGTAACCCTCAAAAACTCAGCTTTAGGGCATTTGTAGTTTTTCTGGAAAGAAGTCTGAAAGGTTATTTTTAACTGGAAATCCCCCCTCAAAGAAGCTAAGTCAAAGAAATAGGTATTTAGGATCCATTTCAGACCAACCTTATTTTTAAAATGTATGCAGTTCTAAGACTACTGAATTAATAAGTGTCATGTTATTATTTTAATAACACTAACACAATTTTACTCTAAGAGCTTTTCAAGTAGCAGTGTTACTTCACAGCTGGTTTATAGCTCTAAGCCAAAAGCGGAGAAGTGATAGAGCAAGGAATTGGTATCAGTTAGTCTGGGAGGTTCACATAGCAGTTGCACATCTGGATATGCCACCAGAACTGCTCCTTGATCTTCCATTAGTCAGGTCTACAGTACTATATTACCCATTCCAAAATACCAAAGAAACAATTTTTGGCCCTAAGATCAATAAGGAGCACCATCTTACAAATATCCACCTCTGTATCTCACTTAGGAATGTAAGTGTATACAGACAGGTATTCTTGGTGACTGATCTTAACTATAGAATGCCTTCCCATGAACACTCAAATGCCTCATTTACATATGGAGCACAATTTGTTAGAATACTGAAGTGGTAGAGTGAGATATCACCTCAGACTGTGGGGAAGGGGAGTTATATTATGGATGCCCCCCCCCTATGTTAGAACTCCCAGATGATTTAAAAAATAGCAAAGTGGGGGGAAATTTCAGCCCTAGACTTTTGCATCATGCAATTGTTTTCTGTTTACAAGGAATTACTGACATAATGGAACTCTGGAAAATCTAACCCCTCGCTTGCAATCTGGATATAGTCCTTTCTACCACCTCAGTACTCTGGCATGCTATTAGCACTTAGTCTGCTGTATGTGCGCAGGCCACAGCCTGACAATCTTCCAGAAGTGTAAGCCTTTCTTTCTTTCGTTCTTTCCTAACTTCTGCGGATATTTCATAGCCAGGGATTTAGACAGAGAGAGGAATAAAAGAGCAGTGTTAACCATTCAAATAGGCTTCAACACTGTAACCCATTTTAAGCTTTCAGAATTGAGCATACATAAATCAAATATAGGCACAAATTGCCTGAAGTGGTAGAATATAATAGTCCCATTATGAGTAATGGTGCAATAAGCAATAATAGCAGTTACACACTTTGAACTTACCATGTGGTGACTAATTCCCACAGAAGCAATAAAACATGTACATTTACTTTGTCTATCAACACTATTTACTACAACTTGAGATTCAACATGTAAGTTAGCTTGTAACGCTGGAAGCTAGCTGTCCAAAAGTCTGTTTTCCTCCCATTCCATTCTATATGCCAAATCCTGAAGACCATCCAACACTTCAAACTTTATAGATGTGTTGACCCCCTGGAAGGTTCGGATTCCTTTCATCCTCTTTCC